TCCTTGATGGGGGGAGAGCTTGGTCCTGCCTCACCTTGACACGCCAGACTTTGTTGACTCTCCACGGAAGGCCTTACCCTCTCTGAGGAGTGTCAGGGAGGCAGGTGAAGGGGAGGGGGGGGGAACACAGGTTAGTATGTAAAATGAAAAATACCTTTTTTAAATTAAAAAAGAGATAGGGGTCGTTGTGTGTCTACTGCGAGCACAGGGACTCTTGGCCTGATGTGTTGAGAAAGGGGACGGAATACGTAAAGTCAGAGGAAATCCTACCTGGATGACCATGCACACTCCGGGAGCTTTGGGGACACTGACCCCTTGCGGTTCACGCGCTGCGGGGACAGAGACCTCACCGCACACTCGCTTGGCTTTGCTTTGAGACCCTCCAGGACGGAAGCCCCATATCTGGCCTTGCCTCTCATTTTTTTTCTAGCCTTTCTCTAGTGTTTGACGTCGATATGTTCTATCTGTTCCTAAATTCCTTGTGGTCTATCTGTTACTAAATTACTTGCCCCTTCTCTTCTGTTGAAAAGACATCAAGTCAACAGCATCCCGAGGCTGGGAGCCTCAGACTTCGAACGCCTTGTGCTGTTCCAGTGGTGATATATTATTTGTGATCTAACAAAGCCACTGGAGATCAAAATGCAAAGCTAGCCACAGCCGCAGAGCCAGGCAGTGGCGATGAACACCAAATGACTGGAAGCATCGTGTGGGAGGTAAAAGCCTTTGCTCCATAAATAAGAAGGCCTGAGTTCAAACCCTAGCGCCCAGGCAAACAGCCAGGCGTGGTCAGCCTCATGTGGACCTGTGTTTGTGTGTCAGCTCTGCAGACAGTAAGACGACATCTTCTGGGGGCCTCCACGGTTCACCGCAGATGACTCCGGGTTCAGTGAATCAAATGGGAACCGAAAGAGTTGGACACTAGACATCCTCTTTTGGCACACACACACACACACACACACACACACACACACACACAAATGCACCCTTGCTTAATTATTAGATACAACACTTTATATTTTAGAGGAAGTACCTGGAAATATGAACAGACAAGAAAAAGAAAGAAGGAAAGAAAGGAAATGCGACCAGCACCCACACTCCATAACCAAAGATCATGAGACTACAGGCCTCAGTGCTTTTGGAAACCCCGACACTTAATGCTTCCAGGAATCATCATGGTGTCACTACGAGATGCGATCTTGCCCCCCCCCCCCCCATTAGCTACCAACAAGGCGAGAACCCTAACAGGGTTCCACCGGGACAGAAGGCTGGAGGAGGTGTGTTTCCACGCTGTGTGAGCGCAGAGATACCTGCAGTCCTCAACTGCTCGGCCTTGCTCAGCAAAGCTGCAGCCCTTGGTGCAGTCTCCATCCCCTGGACCAAGCCCACTCCACGGGTCTCTGGGGAGAAGATGTGTGCAGCCCTTCACGTCTGTCTAAAGGGATGAAGGTGTGGTCACCTGAGCAGTACTGTGAGGGTTGCTGGGGACTTGTCTTGGAGCCTCCTTTGCACAGTAAGCATATCGGTTTTTTTTCCATTCGAGTATGTTTAAGTCACTGCTCACCAACTGATGCGGGGCCCTGGCATGGGCACTGTGCCAGGGCAAAAGTTATCTTAAGAAAAACCCTGTGGTCAGTCCCTCCAAGGAGGAAAACTACAGCAGAAGGTACCCAGACACTCTTTCCCGGCAGAAAGAGAAAGCAGCCCTCAGGAAGCTTAGGAAGCAGCCAGGGCAGAGAAAGTCCACAAATCACGGCTCTTAAATCAGCCCTTTGCCTGGGGCTGCTTCCCCAGAGACAGGCTGCCCTAAACCAGGCTTGCTTTCTTTGTCCTGATTGAATCAGAGGGAAGCCAAGGAACCCGGCATGCTTCTAAGTCAGGGAGAGGCAAGAGGCTTTTTAAAAAGTTTGAAAGCTTGCACCACCAAACTTTCCCATCGGAATTCGGCCAAGCTGGGACAAATGTATCAGGGAGCCTTTGCCTCCCTTGCTGGATGAATTCAGGAAGAGGAAGGAGGGCAGCAGGGGAGAAAAAGGAGAAAGATGACCACGGAGAGACACACGGTAGATGGAGGCCACTCATTAGTGCTAATAGTCTGCGGGGAAAAAAAAAAAAACCGAAGGCAAAAACAGCAAAAGCAAGCTGTTCTCTGTCCAGGAGGAGGGAGGGGCCTTAGTGGAAAGTCAAGGCTGCCTAGAGGCGGGGCACAATAACCACAGGCCGGAAAAATACAGTGCGGGGAAACCGTGGGCCAGGCAGATTCCTCAGCGGGGCTTTGGGCTGTTTCCTTTGGCATCCTATCAATTACGTTACTGTTGCCTGTGTGAATTTGGTCATCTCGTCCTTTAAATAAAGCACGCTCTGTATGTTCACAGTCCTGGAGTGGAAAGAACCTTCTAAGTTTACCAGGGGACCCAGGGACAACTGTGCAGGAAAATCGGGAAAGACTGAGACGCTCGAACTTCGATTTGGCAAAATCAGCTCACGTGAGAAGAAAAAAAAACCTAAAAGGCACATAAGGACTGTGGGAAAATATTTGCAATATGCACAAAGGGCAAAGTCAGGATCCATACTAGTTAAAAGTGTACTCATAAAACAAGATAAAAAGGATAAGGGGGGGAGGGCGCAGGGTTAAATGGTAACGAGCGGTAGCAAGAGGCAGTTGAGAGAAGAAAACTACAAAGGATTGACACTTAATAGGCTCAAAACTGTCAACTCGAATTATAAATCAAATTAACACATCTATATTTTTAATTGGCAAAATGTAGGATTTTGATGGTATATAATATTCATAGTTTCTCTCTCTCTCTCTCTCTCCACACACACACACACACACACACACATACACACACAAGATCAGAGGAAGTTTTTGCTACGTAGTCTAGGCTGACCTCGAACTCACAATCTCCGTGCTTTAGCCACTAAGCGTGGGGAATCTAGGTGTGTGTTCCCACGACTGGTATGAGAAGCAGTCCATGTTTTAATAATAGGTGTCCAAACTATGGGAAAGCAAATTGTCATCGCAGTTTTGGACGACAATCCAGCAGGATTTCACACATTCTAAATAAAGACACCGTACAATCCAGAAGCCCCAGGATTCTGAATTATCTTTTTTTTTTCTTTCTTTTAGTGTCCTCATTTGTTATTGATAACTCACTTTTTTTCTTTCTTTCTTTTTTTTTTGGATTTTACGAGACAGGGTTTCTCTGTATTGTTTTGGAGGCGCTCACTTGTTTCTTAAATGTTTCCATGTTCTTTACAGCCATGGACACATACCAAGCAAGACTGTATAAAGTTAGGGGCACAGAATAATGCATTAAAAAGCAAAAAACAAGCTGGGCGGTGGTGGTGCACGCCTTTAATCCCAGCACTCAGGAAGCAGAGGCAGGCAGATCTCAGTGAGTTTGAGGCCAGGCTGGACCGATAGCCTCTGAAACAATACAGAGAAACCCTGTCTCGTAAAAACCAAAAAAAAAAAAAAACCCACAAAACAAAAAAGAGAAAGCGGCATGGAGGAGAATGATCCTGAGAAATGTGAGCACTGAAAAGACTAAAGTCTAAAGGAGGTCAGAATTATGTTTGTCTGTTACCAAAGAGGAGAATACAAGAGCTCCTCCCAACCACAGAGGATCCAATGGTCACAGCTGCTTGCAGACGTCACTGTACCCTTGACTATGCCTTTGTGAGGGTTTCCTAAGCCTGGTTGTGGCTACCCTGCCTTCCATGCTGAGTAGGCATGAGACAACCTGTTAGCATGCTCCACAAATAAGAGCTGGCACTTCCTTCCATCCCTCCCTCCTTCCCTCCTTCTTTCCTTCTCTCCCTCCCTCCCTCCTTCCCTCCTTCCCTCCTTCCTTCTTTCCTTCTCTCCCTCCCTCTCTCTCTTTCCTTCCTTCCTTCCCTCCTTCCTTCTTTCCTTCCCTCCCTCTCTCTCTCCTTCCTTCCTTCCTTCCTTCCTTCCTTCCTTCCTTCCTTCCTTCATCTGTTGAAGCCAAAGGGTTTCCTTGCACAGTTCAGCTCATGGTTGCTGCTTCTGTCTGCTTGAGGCAGAATGGCAAGAAGGGAGACAAGCTGCTAGGCAGATGGAGGGGTCTGCCCCTTTGTTCACTGCTTGCAATCTGAGAGGTTATTCCTAGAGACCAAAGGACTCCATGTTTTTAAAAGCAGTGGCGCCAGCAGGAAGGAGATTGGCTGCAGCTTTGTGTCTTACTTTATAGTGAAGACCCCTAAATGCTACCAACAAATGGACACGTAAGTCATTTAAGACACCAAGGTGTAGTGTGAAACTCCCCAAAAGATGAGCTATGTTGATAAAGATGTAGGAACTGGTAAAAGACCTGAAAGACATTTTTTTATATGAAGTCATATATACATACCTAGGCAGAAGTCCTGTGTATATGTTGTCCTATTGGTTGATAAACAGAGCACTGTTGGCCAATAGGGAAGCAAGATAGGCGGGACTAGGAGTCGAGGAGGATCCTGGGAAATGTAGTCGCGGGCGAGAGAGAGACAGAGAGAGAGAGAGAGAGAGAGAGAGAGGAGAGAAAGAGGAGTCACCACGTGATCCCTGGAGGCTGCATGAGGCTGCGCCCTTGGTAAGATAAGATCTTATAGAAATATATATTAGTAACTATGGGTTAATAATTAAGTCAGAGCAAGCCATTAAGAAACCATAGCAAACATCCAACAGCTTCATAATTAATGTAGTGTCTCACGTGTTATTTTAGGGGTTGAAACAGTGGCGGGATCCAGGCAGCTGGCGGGAAGAAAGCTCGTTACACGTGTATTTATAAAATATGTGCTTATGCCACGTATTTTTATAAGTAATGCATCTAAAATTTTGTTTTTATGAAAATGGAATTATGTGTGCTTGTATTTGCACTTGTATGTGCACTGAAAAAAAGGATGTAACACAGAAAAACGCATGCACACACCATCACGTGAAATTTGGCTAGCTTTGCAGGGATAGAGCTCTTGACACACAGGAAGTGATGCTTATCTGCTGCCTTTTTTGTACATGAATTTATTATGGCACATTCTGCCCTTATATTTGAGGGTCAAGTGAAAAAATGTACATGGATAGATGCACACGCATGTTCCCATAGCCCTTACTGTATGTAGAAAACAGCTGTAGAGTAAGAATTTTGATTGTACAGAAGAAAAGTCTTTCAAGATGACTGATGGTGGCTGGGTAACTCTAGAACCAACTCTGGGCTAAGAGCATAAGCATCCGGACACCCCCACCCCCAGGGGGTCCACCACTAAGCATTCCAGCGGAACCTGGGAGACAAGCGTTTACCACTCTGTCATCTCACTGCTGATAACCACCCCATATTTCAGTCCACCTTTCTCAAAAGAGGTCTTTGTGAGGGGTGGGTGGGCCCACCTTCCTCTTGAATGCTTTAGAGCTTGCAGACCCAACTGGGTGCTCCTGGAGCACAGGGGTAGGCTCTAACGAGTCAGAGGGGAGCAGCAAATCGTACAAGAGTGAGGAGCACTCTGTTGTCTTGTGCAGTCGAGTCAGTGGGAGCAGAGGTGCCTAGAGCTCCCGTTAACCAGGACCTGCTTGAAGAAGGACGGCAGGCAGCTGGCCCTTCCATGGATCGATTCCCTTAGAAATGAAGAGGAAATACATTTGAGCAGAAAGGGAGAAGCGAGAAAACGGCACATCGAAGGTACAACCGCTCCGATGAACCGTACATGACCTTCTTTTTAAGCTCCGGCGTAAATGAGGGGTTGGAGACTATAGAAAAAAAAAAAAAAAGAAAACCTTAAGGATGCCCTCAGGTTAAAGTTCTACATAATTTATATCTAATCCAGGTGGCAACACTTATTAATTTTTACTAGAGACTGGGATGAGGAAAAACAGCAAGGTGCCCCTTCCAAGAGGCCCTTTCCCAGTGTGTACACACATGACAGGGAAAGCAGCTGGGGCCAGTTGGGGCTTCGGGAAGGAGGAGGGTGCATGCACACAGTAACGTGAATGAGGTTCATCTTACAGTCTGCTCCTTTTCTTTCTTGTGTCTCGTTCTTCACAAGGAAGCACTCTTCCTCCCCCTTCCACGAAGCTAAAGATTGAAGAGACTTGGGAGAAAGGGGTCAGCTCATCTGCAGAAAAAAAAAATCAGAGAATGTGTTTTTATGTTTTAATTTTAAAAATGCACCCGGGAGAGCACTGAAAATGGAGTCGGGGGGGACCACAGAGACTTGGGATACATGTCTCTACCCCTCTGGCTCAGTTTTCTGTCTTAAAAGTCTGACACTTGGTAGCATTAGATGGCTCAGTGCTAAGATTTCTTCCATTACAATTTCATGGAATTTTGGGGATCGTAACTGTTGGTCAAAACTCTTAGCTGACACAAGAACAAAGTGTGCTAGAATTCATGTGCTGCACTGAATTTCACGAGTTAATGCTTTTACAGCAAATTAGTAACATATATATATATAGTTGTCAGGACCCTACAGTAGATTCCTTTAACCTACTACCAACAATTCAGTTCTGTTGCTTTTTGTAAGTGGACGATTGAATTTATTCACCACATGACTGTGGCGAAACCAGAGCAGTCTGAATTTCTCAAAAGTTTCCTGGAGAGGATTATAATGGTTGAGCCACCAGCTCTCTTGAGCCAGGTGATGGTCAGGGACAATCCAGGGATGTTCAAGAATAAATGTGGTTAGGGTTGGGCTCTGTCCTTGGCAAGAGCATTCACACACCTAAACCACAGGGGTTCGGTAACATCAGGGAGACTTCCTTGCTCCTACGAAGTCATGTGCATTGGCTGGGCTCTCTGCCACTTAGTGACTCAGAGGTCAGGGCTCTCTTCATCTTCTCTGCCAGCACCTCAAATGTGACTCGGAGTTCACGGTGTCAAGGGAGGAAATTGATGAAGGAGACACAACAGCGGTTAAGGATTTATGTCCCTTCAGCTCTTGTTTTATCCGCCAGAGCACGTGGCTCAGCCCAGTGGAAAGTTTCCTGGGAAATGCAGGAGGCAGCACACAGTGAATACCGTTCGCCTCTGGGTGAACTCATGATGTAATTGGGGTATAAACCGCCAGGTGAGAGATTCCATGTGCATTTGGAATAAGTGGCCTAAAGCCTTAATTTTAAAACCAGTAGCTTCTTTAGATTAGTTGTTTTTATTTTAAGATAGAACGAACTTCAAAAAGCAAAGGCAGTTTTGCCAGCAAGTGGGGGCGATTTATGGGTTTGTCTTTATGTAGCTGCCTCATTGTTGGTCATAATACACCTTAAAGCAGCTTGTATTCTTACATAGTTGCTAAGGGGTAGCTCTTCCGCACCTGACCTTAGATCTTCTAACTTGTCCATTCTGCTTGAAACCCAGATGCAGGGCTGTGTGTCTGTTCTTCTAAGCATCACCTTGGTGCTTTTCAGATATTTCCTTTAGCCTTATGACGTTTCAACCTGGCTTCCACTGTAATTAATAATTTCTCAGGGATTGTGTCAAGTACCAACCCAAGGAGCATGTTTTCTGTGTCTATACTCAGGTTATTAAAAAAAATAGCTCAGGGGTAGAGCCCTCCCCTTGGACCCCAGAGACTTCCCTGGGGAGGCATCACCATTCGTTAAGGATCACAGTGGGTTTATTTCTTCCCCTAGTTCTGATCCTCCTCACGTATAAACCAGTTCGAGCACCTTCCTAAGAGATTTGATGTTGCATAGCGTGAAATCATCACGTTCCTGAAGTACTAGCTGGTGGTTCCACAGCCTAACATCTCATGCCAGAAGTATGGAGACATTTCTAGCATCTCCTTCTGTCTTCCTTAGCAGAGAACTAAGAGCTGTGTTGCCACCCCTGCACCAAGGCTGTTAATCTTGGTGCCTGTACCACTCCCCTAAGCTTATCTCTGTGTCTCTGGTCTCTTCTCCACTCTTGTATTCTCCTTACCCTATGTCATGCCCTAATATCCTGGACTAAAAGTCACCAGTAGGTCCCAGCGGAAGGGCAATCTGTAAGGGCAATTCTTAGCAAACACCTTGTTGTAATCAAGAAACAATGCACATGGCTAGCGGGGCTACTCGGGTGACAGCAGGTACCTTTATGTTCAGAACGACAGTTTGATTCTGGGCATAGCCAAATGTTGAAAGAAATAAATGTAAAAAGCAAAAGGCTTCTCATAATATGTAAAAAACCATTATCCCCATTGTTTGTGGATCCATGCACCATTTCACTAACCCTGGTGGTGGGCAGGAGCCAACGCTTGACCTCTGCTTACTTAGTTCCCAGACGTATCATATGCTCTTGACTGAGTGAACAAAGGTAGGCCATGCCAATGGTACTTTGCCAGCTAACATCAGAAAACAGGAAATTAAATAGTTGCACTTAAATTCTATGTTAGTAGTTGGCTCAGACTGACAAAGACATTTTATAGATTCTTTTAAGCAAGAGTTTAGAAACTACAGGGGTTTAAAGATCACATACATAACAATTTTGTAGAGGCAAAAAAGGGAATGCATTATCTGTAATAGCCAGAACCTGGAAGTAACCTAGATGCCCCTCAACTGAAGAATGGATGGGGAAAATGTGGTGCATTTACACAATGGAGTACTACTCAGCAGAAAAAAAATGGAATCTTGAAATTTGCAGGTAAATGGATGGCACTAGTAGAAACCATCCTGAGTGAGGTAACCCAGTCACAAAAAGACAAACATTGTATGTACTCACTCATATATGGATTTTAGTCATGGATCAGGATAGTGCCAGTCTGCAATTCCACTGACAGAGAGTCTGGGAAACAGGAATGAACCTAAGAGATATGTATGATACCCCAGAGAAGAGGAATGAGGCAAGATCTTCTGAACAGATGGGGAACACGGCAAGGAGTGGGGGGGGGATGGGAACTGGGAAGAAGAGAGGGAGAGAAGAGGAAGAGAGAGTAGGTCATGGGGGAATAGGAAGGTTGAGTGGGGTTAGAATAGGGGGAAGAGGGAATCATAGGTTAGAAGAGAGATCAGGCACCATTGTGACCTCTAGTGATCTAAAGGGATGACACCAATTGGCAAGCTAAGCAATAGTGGAGAGACCACCTCCAATGCCCATTCCTGATAATGAACTTGATGTTTATAACCATCCTGGAGCCTTCATCCAGTGACTGATGGAAGCAGAGGCAAACACACAATTAATCACTGAACTGAACCCAAGGAACCCAGTGACAGAGAGAGGAGTGATGAGCAAATTGGCAAAGAATGGGCTGGCAAAACCAGCAGAGACAACTGATCTGAACAGGGGAGAGCTCTGGGACCCCAGACCCACAGCTGGGAGGCCAGCATGGGACTGATCCAGATCCCCTGAGTGTGAGAGTCAGTGAGGAGTCCTGGGCAACCTATGGGGCCCTGGGCAGTGGATCAGTGTTTATCCCTGGCATACAAACAGACATCGTGTGTCCATAACACAAAGAGGGATGCTCTCTCAGCCTGGACTCTTAGGGGAGTGCCTGGACCCTACCCTGAGTGAAATGACAGACTCTAGATATCCCCTATGTGAACTGGACGGAAATGGCGATAGGGTGGGAGGCTGGGGTGGGGATGGTGGGGGGGTGCGGGAGGAGGGGAGGGAGAGGGACCTGGGATTGACATGTAAAACAAGCTATTTAAAATTAAAATAATAAAAAAGAAAGAAAACCCACAAAAAAGATTTAAATCATATTTCTAAGGAGTTACATATGAGGGTCTCAGTTCTTTCTACATGGACCTTTCGTCTCTTTTATATGAATATCTCCATTTTTATAAGTCATTTCCTAGGAAATTATCATCATTGACTTTGGGTAGTCCTTGGATTTGAGTGACTTAGCACTACTGAGGCATGCCCACCTCTCTGCTGCCTCTGTAGAGCATGGGTGAAAACAGTCATTACTGAGCACTCAGAAGCAGCATTACATGTAGGTAGTAAGAGAGTGGATTCTGGGTTCTGAGCATCTAGTTTGAATTATATTCTGCTTGCTACTCTTCTTGGGGATAACACATCACAGAAGGGTCAATGAGCATCATGTGCGATTACGATGCTATAAATTATCGTGGGCGAGGTGGCTAATGTGTATATAATCAATAGGTAATACTAAATTAACAGATTAAGCAATCATCTCCCCTTCTGGGTCCTTTGGCTCTCCTTGAAAATAAGAGTCGGGGTAGAGCGTGGGTACGAGAATACCATGCTGCTCCTAGCTGTCGGGGTGACCATGGTTGACAGCCACCTGCTGTGTGGAGCTAGTGCACCCCACCACCCCCCACATCCCTTTATTCTGTGTGCTCACCGCACAAACGTGGGCACATGGGTTCAAATCCCCCGCACTCACATAGATAGCTGGGCATGGACACATGTCTTTAAACCCAGTTTCACGGTGGTCAGAGGCCAAAGGGAAGAAGGATCACTGGGGTTTTCTGGTCCAGGTCAAGTGCAGAGGGACAGAAGAGGACACACAGTGCTCCCCTCTGACCTCCATATACACATGACACTTACACAGGGAGAGGGGAGGGGTGGGGAGGAGGGAGAGGAGGAATCAAAGCCTTTACAGACAGAAGAAGGCTGCCTTTGCCCCATCCTGGGCCCACAGGTCCTTTCTGTCTACCGCGGCTCCCAAGCCTGCAAGGATGAGTTAATTCGGCCCAGCAGATGAGTTAGGTGCGGGAGAAGCCTGTCTTAATGGATCACGTGGCTGCTATTTTAGTTGTGTGTGTGCATGTGTGTGAACGGCTAAATATAGCAGGTTCCCTTTATCTTCTGGTTTCATTTTTACATCCAGTTCTTAAAAAGGCATTTTACTCATTCTTAGTTCGGGGGTTGGGGGGACAAAACAGACTCACTCAGACGTTCAGCCGTTTTCAATTACTTTACTCCACCCACACTCCAGGTTTTTCCGGGCACTTGTTTACCCTTTGAGGGGTTCATAAGACAGCCGTCCCCCTGTTCTTTCTCACCCACTGTGGTCACGCTGTGTCTGCACGCCTCTTCCGCTCCTTGTAGAACCTGCTGGTTTTTAATCCAAAGCTGTGTGTCACGTAGAATAGACGAGTGTCTCTCCCTTCCCGGACTCCATTTGCAAACATCCATTGGCACACGAGTCACAACCCACAGGGGCTGTTTTGCAAAAAGCACTGTTTCTAGGCCTGGTGGCTTACCTTTGTGACACCAGCACACAGAAGCCCAAGGAAGAGAAGAAAAAATAGAGTAAATAAGTTGCCTAAAACTTTATCCTGTCACTGTTTTGTAAAGGGAAAATGGGAAAGAAAACTGGGGAGCACAGGGAAGGAGGAGAGAGGCAGCAAAGCACAAAACAAGCAAACAAACAAAAAACAACATTAGTAGGACTGGAGAGGGAGGGGCTGGAGAGGGAGGGGCTGGAGAGGGAGGGGCTTCAGAGGACCTGAACATAGGAAGTCATTGCAGCAGCCCATAGTGTATCTCCTGCTGATCTCCCAGGGTATTGCCCAAAGGAGGCATTTTTTTTTAAATTTACAATGTGCCAGTATTGTTTCTTCCTTTTTACTTCCCATGCTTCGTGTCTCTGTGTTCATTGTATTTCTGCCTCTCATCTCTCCCCGGCAGATTTTCAAACTGTATTCACACACACAGCGTAGCCACTACCAGCTTGAAAATTCTTTGTCAAGGTCCCCGATGCCATGAAGCCCTGTGGTAGGTCATTTAGCCAGCTTAACAAGGAGGACCTCTCACAATTTAGCCACAGTAATGACCAGACGACACGACCCAATAGAGAAGGTGGTTTGAGGGCTGGATAATCACCACACAAGCGATTGAGCTGGTTTAGAGCATGACCGTCCTGCAACTTATGAAATCAGAGGGGACGCCAGCCTCACGCCACGACCTGACAGCCTTTGTGCATTTTCCATCTTCCCGTATTGCTTCGGCATGTAGCGAATGTGAACTCCGGAGCCACTGTTTCTGACTTCATTTATTTTCCGTACCTATGCTTGGACTAGTAAATATTTACACTCGTGAGAGCTACTTGTCGTGTTTTAGTATCCGCCTGTGTTGTGGGACATCCACTTTCTTTCATGGGCTCAGTATGAAGACATCTCCAAGCTACGCTAATGCTGTAAGCTTATGCGAGTCTGTAGAGCGTTTGCTCTGTCTGTTTTCCGTCAAAGATTGCATTCCTCTTTTCCCCACATACTTCTGCTCTGTGAGACGGAGGTCAGCACACATTGTCAGTGAGCCGAATCTACACCGCAGCCTGGTTTTGTGAGTGATGCTTTATTAGAATGCAGCTATACTTACTCTTTCTGACGTCCTTTAGATACACTACAATGTCAAGTTTGAATGGCTAAACGGAAACCGTAGATCTCTCTAGAAAAAAGTTTGCTGACTCTTACCAGGGAGCAATAACAAACAAACAGCAAGCCAAGTAAGCCTTTTCATTGAGGTGTGCCACAGCTCAGAGCTATAGGGTACCATTAAATAGACTTCTTTTTAAGTAAGAGAGAACAGGTCCACAAGGGAGCTGGCTTTCACAGGGTGTTTATTGCTTGCCAAGTCTGTACCTTAGTATGTATTAGTTCACGGAACTTCTCGATAAGGTGTTGGGTATCTGACTAGATAGGCTATATTCATTACAAAACCTGCAGTACTGGCGTAATTGATGAAAGCCATGTTGTATGGAAAGTGTAATCATCATCAGTGTCTCCTTGAGCTAGGGTCTCACTATTGTAGGTCAGGATGCCTTGGAACTCATTTCTCCCTGCCCCAGCCTCCCAGATGATAGTATTATAGGCATGTGAAACCATACCTGGCTTTGTTATTTCTATTTTATAGACAAGTTTATTATTTATGTTGCTTGTGGTAACAAGATACCAGCCTCCTAGTTAGTCCTAGCTGTCAGCTTGATACAGTCCAGAGCGATCTAAGGGAGTCTCAGTTGGTGATTGCCTCCATCAAACTGGGCTGTGTGCTTGTCTGTGGGGGGGCATTTTCTTGGTTGCCAATCGATGCAGTAGGGCCCAGCCCAGTGCTGGGAGTAATGTCCCTAGGGAGAGGAACCTGTATAAGGAAGCTTAACCAAGCAGAGTCTAGAGGACAAGCCAGTAAGTGGCATTCTTCTGTAGTTTCCGCTTTGATCTCCTGCCTTGGCTTCCCCAGTGATGAACTGCAACTTACAAAATGATATGAACACTTTCCTCCATGAGTTGGTTTTGCTTGTTTGTCTTATAGTTTTTTGGTCATAGTTTTTATCACAGCAACATAAAGATTCACTATAAGGAAAACAATATAAGGAAACAAGGGCCTGTCTTTGTTCATACTTTAAAGGGACGTAGTGCGTCAAGGCACGGGTGGTTGTGGGAGTCAGGGTGGAGGGAGCGGGTTCCACTGGACCAACATTGGAGAAATGAATGCTGCAGCACGCCTCGTGTGCTCATTCTCTCTTCATTGTAGCGTCTTGCGCCCCAGATGGAGAGACGGTTAAAGCACACTCCTTGTGGGTCTTTAGTTAAACATCACAGGAGACACCGAGCAGACACATCCAGAGATACGTTTTCTAGGTCATTCCAAATGGGGTCAAGATGACAGTAAATATTCGTCATCACAAGAAGCAAAGATAAAAGAGCCTAAATAACTCACCTTTTGGCATGCAGCCATTGCAATAATGAGGGTGCTTGGATTTGAACCCCAAAATGGAACTTCAGACTCTGAAGATAACTATTGCACCGTTCAGGGGAAATTTTTTTCTCCATGTCTCACAAGAAGCAAATATCAGAGCTTCAACTGGGACATTTATAAAAAAAGAAAGATTATTCTTTTCACCATTTTGGTCTGTGATCAGGGGACTAAAAGGACCTCTGTCACATGTCTTCTCCGTGTCTTGATTAAAAATACACCAGCAACATACTTTTGGGTAGGACATGTGTCCTATCATGCCTGCAACCAGCTCTTTTCTGGGTGAGTCACAGAACCAGGGATATTTCCTGCATATTTGTTTGGAAGTTGACTTAAAACTCTTTAAAGTAGAAGGGAACCAGCTGGTACCTCCCATCCCCTCCTCCTTATGTGAACCTGTTATGGCTCAAAAGGTAGAAACGCCTCTTTCAGATCACAAAATTCATAATTAGCTCTTCAGTTAGAATTAACTTAAGATTGCATATTGCAAGAATCACTGCCACAGTCAGGCCACCATTCCAGGACTTTACCCACCCATTAACCCTGCAGCTTCTCGATAGTTGTAACCATACAGCCAGGACCCCAACATCCCAGTTCACTTCTCTACAAACCCGACCTCCTCACTTGGATCGCTCTCCCGGCCGTGACTTGGATGTCTTCTGCATCCCTCTGCATCTCATGTTGAGATAGAATCTGAATCCCAGTGGCGTTAAGAAGAAGGGACTTTGTGGAGTATTAAATCATAAGCATTCCACCCTTGGGAATAGAATGAATTCCCTTATAGAAGACACCTCTGAAAGTTGCCTGCCCTTTCAACCTCTCTGCCGCCCAAGGACATAACATGAAGACGGTATCTTAGAGCAAGATGCAGGAGGACATCTTCACTAGACACTCTTGATCTCGAACTCCTCAGCCTTCATAATAGCCACAAAGAAATTCCTATTTATAAACCACCCAGATAAGGGTACAGTGCTATAGCAGCAAGAACAGACCAAGATACCATCTTAATCTAGGAATCTTCTCTCCTTGGGTTTTGATGGCATCCTCCCTAAATATTTTCTCCTATGTGAAAACCTTCTCTGCGCCTAAACCCAGTTGCTGAAGACAATCTCCCAGAGTTGCAGATTGCTGTCTGGGTAAGTGGGATTATGATTACACTCGTCTGGCTTCTGAAAATGAAGCATCATAGCAATCTATCTTTCCCTAATTGGTTCAAATTCCCATTTCATGTCAAAATTCTCCTCAAACTTATCACACTCCCATTGGTCTGGAAGAATCTAAGCTGATTACAAATCCACATTCCTGCGTTCTATGCCTCCTTTCTTCTCTTCTGCCCGCAGCTGACGGAAGCCCTCCTCCCAGGAAGGGTCGGCCGAGACACAGTCCACCTGCATCCAAAGATGATCTGACGTCTTAGAGAGCTCTCACTGGCTGCTACCGCATCTGCCTTAGAAGGAAGGCCATCTGGCACCCCAAATATAAAGAACCCACGGGATAAACTATCACAGAAATAGGAAGATCCCTCAACTTGGACTGTCACATATAGCTCTAGATCCACACGCCTGAAATAGACTCTCACTGGAGAGAGACTCCAAGTGAAGACAGTAAAACAAATGACAAGCAGGCAAACTCCCCTCTGCTTCTGGCCTACTCCCATTGCAGGATGCATGGGTGCGTAAGTAGAGTAATTTGATGCCAACATCAAACCAGCCAGTTGACAGTTGCTTGGAGTCAGTTGAAACCCTTAAAAAATGCTTGGTGGAGTACCAAACACACAACTGATTATACGAAATTATATGTGAGCCACCAAAGGGAATGAACAAAACCGAGAGTTGAGCAAATGACAATTATGAAGAGTTCTGCTGCCAGTCCCATAACTACTTATACGAACCAAAGTAGTGTTGTCGGCAGGGAAGAAACCTAGCCTCTGGCGTGTGCCCGTCTTCATCACCTCATTCTCATCACTTAGACACTGTAGTGATCATTGTTGTCAGCACCAGTCAGCAGCGTTAATTATTGTGTCATCTCCAGAACTAGGCAAAAATACCAAGGTGATATAGTGAACATTCTTTGCTGCTGTTTTCCTTTTAAAATGCCTCCAGTCATAAGTTAAAATAGTGCAATTATATTCTGCATATGCAGGTATTATTTTGTCCTGTGCATTAGTGTATAGCTCAGTCATTTGTAAGTGTATATTTGCTATAGGAAGCTGAAAGGTGCCAAATTGTGTATAATCACTTTGTATTCAATTTCAATAATGCTCAAGAATACATTGAAGAAATGTCATCACTTGGAATTTACAAACCAACCCCTACGTAAGTTATGATCACTTGTATCATAGAAGGCAATGCTATTTCCCAGGAGAAAAATGACTTATCTAACACATACACCCAAAATGCTGCCTCATTCAGAAAACAGTAATAGAAAGCAAGAACCACACAACAATGAAGGAACTTCTTACCAAGAAGACATCTAGAAAATGAAACTTTTTAAAGTATATTTTGAACAAGTCACTTTTAAAAGAATAAGGACAACTACAAATTCAGATTGGAACATAAATTCCTAAGATGAAAGGCAATCCCAAATACTAGAGATGGTATGCAAACTTTAGGTTCTAAAATTGATCATTCATCCACACAATAGAAGGTGGAGACTCACTGCCAAACTCTTTTTACAAGACTACAATT